TGTTGCTTTTATACAAATTCAAGATATAATTTCTAGGCTATACGAATTCATGTACGCTATATCACTTAAATTCTATTGGTTCAATATTCGTTCGCTCGTTCGTTCGCTCGTTCATTTAGTTATTCATTCGTTCGCTTGTTCGCTTGTTCGCTCGCTTGTTCACTCACTTCACGTGATATGATCTTTATCCAATAATATATGAGATATTTATAATTCAATAATAAAATATTATGATGAAAGATCATTATACAACAATACTGATATTTTAGATATTTTTCAGAACTAATTTTAGAAAAAGATGACCTTTGAAAAAAAATTCAGAATATATAAAATATATAAAATATTCTAAAAATTGATATTTGCACTAAGTTAATTAAAAGTATATCAAAAAAGTATATGATATAGTAAAAGTCAAGAAAAATTATATAATATGATGAGTTTATAACTAAGTTGAATAAATATATATTTTATTTTGATTTATTATATCTAAAAAAAATAAATTAATAATTAGTATTAACATAAAAATAAGCAAAATAATAAAAAGATTAAGAATACATATATTTTTTTTAGTTTAAATAATTAAATTTAACTATATATAATATAATAAAAGAATTTAAATCAATAAAAATTTATTTAATTATTATATTTAATTATAATATATTTAAAATTATTTATTTTTTTTAAACTGTTTCATTTCTTTTGCAAGTCACTATATTATCTATCTTTAATAATTAGTACTTTTTTCCATTTAAAATTATTTTATATAAAACTCTCCAACTTGACTTATTCTTACATGTTATTTATATATTCATTTATAACAAAGCTTAAAATCATATAAAATAATATCAATATGAAAATAATAAGTTTTTATGTTTTAAAAAGAAAATTCCTTTTTTTGTATAATTTTTGTATAAAGATGTTTTGTCTTTTAAAAATGACTAAATTTTATTGGTATTTTTAAGTGTCCTGCACTAATTAACAATTTTTTTTGCAAGTTGTAATATTTATTCATATATAATTTATTTATAAGCTATTAATATTTTTTTTTAATTAAATAAGATCTGAAACTTGTAATTTAGCAGGCAAATTTGCCTGTCAATATTTACAAAATAAAAAATAGATCAATCTAAAAGATCCAGTTAATTATAACTAGTCCAATTGAATCCAGCTCCAATGAAACAGATCTAAAATGAAATCAGATTTTATAAAATCAAATCAAAATAAAATTTGTCTCCTTTTTATGGGATAAAAATTTCAGAGAAGGGTTAGGGTTAGATTAGAGCAGAGTATAGCATTAAAATCTGTAATATATTGACCTATGATTATTTAAACATCCCACTCTGTTTCGTTTTAATCTGATTTCATTTTAATCCGCCACAATATTTAATAATAAATTTTGCTAACAAACAGGAAGCATCTCTACTCCATCGTCTGTTTCCTCGTCCTCTTGTTCTCGCGTACTGTTGATGAATCGTTAATTCCTTTATGACAAAGAAAACATTCACTCTGCAGTAGCACATTAGTAAATGCCAACTCAATGTTACCATATAACTATGTAAGTTTAATATATGCAATACAATAAGCTTGCGAAGTGAAAAGATGCTATCATAACCATATCACCAATCTGTCACATATAGGATTATCATTAGCAAGATAATAACACCTTCATCTTCTCAGACACACAGGCGTGCCCTCATATAATAGGAAAAGTGATGATGCCATCCTCCTTTTGTTTCTTTGGCCATCTTCGATCGTGACTAACTAGTTCTTAACGCTTGTGGCGAATACATCATTGCAACACGTGAAAGAGATGACTCTTGTAATAAATGGTAGTTTACCTTTCTCGAGGTCTCAAGGATCTGTAGTTTTCGATTTTTGTCATCGATCCTTAGTAAAACAGCATCGATTGCCTTTTGCATTAAACCTTCAATTTCTTGCCTTGTTTTCAATGACCCATGAACAACTACAAACACCAACGCGTGGCGTTCACAAACTTTATTTGAGAAGTTATGATACTGCGCGAGAAAATAAACAAGGAAAGCAAATAAATTCGCGTAATTTTGTACATTGAGAAGGAGGAGAACGTATGTGTTTACTTTTTCTCCAATATGTAAAATTCGTCAAGGCACAAATAAGATTACACTTAGATTGGTGGTCACTAGAAATTTTAGAGACGTGTCAATGTATTTTTATAGTGTTAAATCACGGGAACATGATTTAATTATTCTACCGTAAAATTCTACACCACTTTTTTAAATTTTGCTTTAAAAACAAGTGTCAGTTAGTTGAACATAAAAAACAATATTACGCTGAAGCAATCGTTGAATTGAAGAACAGTTGGTAAACCAATTTTTATGATAGAACATATCGATATAATTATTCTTTGTAGAATATTGAAGAGACGAAATAGCGAATTCTATCATCGATCGCGAGCACAATAAAGAAGATCACAAAAGTTATTCTTACAAAACACGTGAATTCGTGATAACTTGCTGAATAACGGTTTTTACCATAACGATAACATAATAATATGGATGAAGATGAGGAATTGAATGTGGATGAAGATGATGAAGTAATATACGGTGATGCTCAGTACAACGAAAAAGACATAATTAGAGTAAATATTAATAATCAAAGTGGACACGATGTCGCATTACTAAATATGGTGGCTGAAAGCAGTGGCAATAATCAAAGGTATCCGTAACATTTATTAATGTTATTGTATTCAGGTATATGGATCAACAATCCTCATTGCGAAATACCTCATCATCCAGTGTTAGGAAAAAGAATACTAAAAAGGATCTGTTAGATATCGATGACAATATGCCAGGTTAGTTATTGACATTTAGATTTTTTCTAATAATAAAACAATTAATAAAAATTTTTCTCCAAACATTGAGACAATAATATTATAGTTCCCGAATTGCCCCACGACCCTAAGCTTATCATCGAATCACTTAAAATACAGATCCGACAATTGGTATAGTATTTTTAATTTTAGATGCTTGATCTTTGCTCCTTGTGATATCTTATTTTCTTTTTTGTTTGACAACAGAAGGTAGCAACAAAAGGTATGCCGAGATGCTTGATATGTCTGGATGCCTATCAAACGCCGGTCACTTCAATCGTATGCTGGCATGTACACTGTGAAAAGTGTTGGTTACAATCTCTTGGAGTTAAAAAGCTTTGCCCGCAATGTCAGAAAATTACCACTGCTAGTGATTTAAGAAGAATTTACTTGTAATAATATGTTAACAAATATTGAACTATCTTCAACACAAAATTGCAAATACATGATAATCTGAACCACCACCACCAACGTGAAGAGACGAGCTTGATTTTTGAAATTTGGTATGTTTAATCTTTGCGATACAATCTTATATAATACCGCATATTTTCAAGTGGAGCTAATTCATGATATTTTAAACCTTCAGGATACCTGTAATTATTGAATAGGGAAATCAATAATTGTCGACCTTGAATGATTATGTTACTACTATTCTTTTAGATAATACACACCGATACCATGTCGAATCATTCGAGATTACGGGAGTAAAACCTTTGAGTGCATCTAAAAGGAAATAAATCATATATGTTTTTTCCCCAATTTTGATATTAGAGAATGATCCTGCAGAATCTAATACCTATCTCCCGCATAGATTTGATCGATCAAAAGTATTTAGTTCGAACGAATTTAAAATAACCCACTAATTATCAAATATCCTACCAAAAGATGTGATCCTTTTTGCATCGTATTTACAAGAAGTTGAATCATTTCGATAGCCTTCTTTTTGTCAATAAATAACTCATTCATCACAAACATGAACGTTATGAGATCCGCCTTTGCAAATTGCTCCTGTAATTTCCGTGTAGGTTCCAACACATCACCCACCGAAAACAAGCATTCCAACTTCTTATGGGAAATATTCCATTGCTCTCGGATTGTCAGTTCAAGGTTATTGAGGACTTTACCCCAATCTACGTAATCTTGCATATGCAAGATCAATTTTCCTTGTGTGTTATCATCATCTTTAAACGTATTATCAGTTGATATTTGATGATGGTGTAATGCGGATACGAATCCTACCAATTCACTACCCGCGCCGGAACCAACACTAAAAACTCTAGTTTCACCGTTATTGTTATTACCAAAAAGCTCCAGGATTTTCGTTTCATTCTTGATTAAATTAAAGTAGCATAAAGCTCGACCAGGAATGTACCTCGCAGAATATATAGATAAATTTTCAGGGTCCGTAAAGACAGCATTATAATCACGATTGAAGAATGCAGTTTTTATCGATTGAAGTCGATTTTGAAAATCTTGTTGGTCTAATGTATCCTGAAATACTTTATGTATCATATCCAGGATTCCTAAATTAAAAAATATTCTTAAAATTTACATTTAAATAAAAAATCAATTTCATGAGTTTGCATACTTTGTTCCATGATAATTGATATTTATGTAATTAGCAAAGAAATAAATTATATTTGTACAAACAGAATCTATCAATCTAAAATATACAATTATTATACAACAATTATAAAATTACACATGATTATTTCTGCGAATAAGATTTGTTCCTTTTACTGTTATTTTGACGAAGTGAAGTTTTAGTGCTTGGCCGATTAGAATCGCCAATATTTGTCGGCGCTGCTGAAGATTTATCTAATGATGATGATGGTTGTAAATTGTCCTTGCTATCGATTCGACTAATCTATCAAATCGTCCAGGTGTCAAACAAAGTGTGAAAAAAAAAACAATAGAAAAATAGAACAATTGCGTATCTATTACCTTACGTCGCTTTGCTCTTAACTGAGTACCTGGCGACTGCCATTCATTGAATGAATCATTTTTTTGGTTGTGTTTAGTAGTGTTATCATTCAATGAAGGAACTACACGACCAGAAGAATGATCTTGGGAACTTCCTATCCCAATCGAATCTTCCATGTCCTAAAGGAAAAATGTCAGCTTTAGTTTGAACGAAAAAAAATTAATTTCAAAAAAGAGAATAACCTACTCTCTTTATAGTCATTTGAGATTCTTCAACCTTCGTTTCTGTTATTGAAGGATTCTTTTGTTCGATAGAGTCAATTACCTAGAAAATTTGTTAGATATTCAGTCTTTTGATTACTACCAATCTGAAGTCATTCTTATTTTTTACCATCGAATCTATCTCAGAGAGTGTCAAGTATTTGCTGCAAGCATTATCGGTCGATTCGTGTTTATTCATGATAGGAAGTCGGCCGAACAAACTTGGCTCAGTATCTCCTGTAGTGTTCGAAGAAGAGTGGAGTGAAGGGGACACAATTGAAGAGCATCGACTTTGTGTTTGTTTATTTGTCTACATAATAAGAATACAAAAAAATGAAGTTACTCATATGATTAATAATGGAAATTTTAAGATAAAATCAAAAAGTTTACCTTTTGTTCCTTTATCAACTGTACATCCGATTTTATTTCGGTATTCGGAAGCTGGAATTTTTCGATAATGGATTAAAGATAAATTTCAGATAATCATAATTTAATCTAGCACAAAACACAATAAATAATTGAACCTACCATTTGATGCGTAGAAGCGCCCTCTTTTGACTCTGCTTGAAGTAACCTAGATCTAAGAGATCTCTACGTATATATGTTAATGGTGCATTGCATTAACTAAAAATAATGTGCCTTCATAAATGAAGAGAACATACAATTTCCTCGCTTAAGGTAGATTCTCGTATTTCCGCTTCGCGTAATTTGTAATCTCTTTTCCGAATCTCGTTTTCGTGTTGGACTGTCGCCCTTTTGGCTAAATCTTGATAATAAAGCTGTGCTCTATTGAGAGCCTGATCAACCGCATTTTTTTTCTGTTACAAAAATAATATTCTCACATTAAAATTTACACGATTTTTATATGAATTTGCAACTTAAGAATAAAAAAGACCTGGATTTCAGTATTGCTCGTTCCCGAAATTAATTTGTTGTGCTCTTCTAAGAGTTTGTTGTAACTTGCAGTTATCGACGAGAGTTCAGATTCTATAGATTTGCATTCACTCTGAGAAAATGAAAGACTAAAAATGAGTAAATATTTCTTTAGGGAAGATGAAAAAACGTTTATATACCACTGTTGTTTCAAGAGCTTGATTTAACTCTGTGATTTTACTCTTGGTTGTAGTAAGTTCTTGATTACTTTCGGCGATAAATCTTTCGTGTTGAATTAAAACATCGATTTCAGGAATGTCCGCAGTCCCTACCCCAACTGTTAAAAGTTGTAGATAATTTGAATTATAGCTAAAACGATACGGGAATTAAGAATTCAGTAAGCACAAACTTGAGAAAGATTCAATTTTCGGATAATCATATTGACAAAGTTGTTTTTCGAGATCCTCAATTCTACGAGAAAAGGTTGAAATATTAGGTTGATACTTTTATTTATAATAAAAAATATGAGATACATCACTTATTCTTGTATTTTTCTTTCGACTGCATGATTTCATCCAATTTAACCTGAGAATTTCGTAATTCCGCCTCGAGACGTAAATTTTCTGAGCATTTTTCATGAAATCTTGACTCTAATTTTGACCGCTGTTCACGCTCTTCGCGACATTCAGATTCGAGCCGAGCGTTTTCATTGTTCCATTTCTGTTCCCAAATAGTGCGTTTCTTCTGAAAATCTTCTTGTAAGCGACAAATTTCCTCGCGTCCTTCGTTTTCTAATCTTTGCCGCTCTGCTTTTTGATGTGTGCGTAAATTTTCTATTTCCTGATATAGATCATCAATCTGCTTGTTTGTGTTCTTTTTTACATGGTCAAGTTCAGCTTGTAGACTTTTGCGCTGTACTTCAATGGATTTTAAAGATAAAATTCTTGTGGGTAAAGTAAAATAGTTATTAAAATTAATAGCTTTAATAATTTGTGTATTTCAAATTCTTTGGAAAAAAAAACCTCACCGATTTTCTTTTTCCGTAGTGACAGCATTTAGACGTTCATTTTCCCGGTGCATAGATTCCAAATTCAATTCATGCTGATGGATCTTGACCGTTAATACATTAATTCTATGAGAAAAAGTGATGAGCTATTATATAAAATATTATCACTATTATAATAAAAAGGTTGATTACTTTTCTTCGCACTCCTTTTTGGCATCAGATTCCACTTGCAAATTATTTTCAGCGCGTTCCACAGCGAGCTTTAGTTTTTGGACTTCCTCAGTATGATTAGACTTTAACAAATCATATTCACGAGTTAAAGTCTTTATTTGCACACAAGAAGCTTCAAATTCTGAAGCACCGCTGGAGGCATTTAGAATAGATTGTTGTAAATCTTCTCTAAGTTTACTGATGGTTTCATTGGCCTGAACATTATCTTGCGTTAATTTTGAATTATATTCTCTCAATTGCTCCAGCTCAACACGCTCTTTAGAGAAAATAAAAATAAAATTTAGACAACTTTTAAAAAAAGGAATTTAAGATTAATTAAATGCTTGTAATATTTACGTGTTCCAATTAAAGACGCATTGGTTTCCTTTGTGATCTCAAATTTGAATGTGAGTTTATTCAATTCTATTATTTAGAAAAAACAATCATAAATATAGATAATTTTACTACATTATCAAGTTTAGTAGTAACTAATATCTTGCCTTGTTTCATATGCTCAACTTCCTCATCAATTCTTTCTTTTTCATCATGAATCTCTTGGATATTCTTTCCCATAGATAAAAGCGTATTACGATATGTAATGTATCTTGATTTTATACCTCCAATACGTTGGCGACTTCGATCGGTGTCTGTAAATTGCCTTTTGATCAACCCTTCGACACACTTAATACGCTCGTGGTACAGTTTCATTGTCTCATCACGTCGTAAAAGATCTTTACGCAAGTATTCTATAGTATCACTCTCCACGTGAATTAAGTTAATATCTTATAAATATCAATATTCTCTTGATCCCAACCAACATTATAAAGATATTTCTTTTTTAATACTTACCAACTTATTTATTTCTGTGTCTCGGCGTTTTACTTCAGATCTCCATTTTTTCACCGCATCCATAATAATACCGAATTCGTCTTCATTCGATTTGTTTTCGTTCATTTGAATTTGTTTAGTATCTTCTATTCTATTATTTGATTCAACATTAGAATTGTCTATTATATTATGAGTCTCTAATGGATAGAGGCTCTCGGAATCATATGAAGCCATATTTGAATCAGAGAATGTGTCTTGCATCACAACATCTGGTAACTGAGATTTGTTATCATCATCATCATCATCATCATCATCATCATCATCATGATTATTATTTGACGAATTGTCTATTGTTTGTGAAATTTGAATGGTCGATTGATCACCATCATCTGAATTAAAAGTCATTTCGTTTATTTGCGCGAATAGATTCGATGATTCAATAGAATTGGACTCGAGTTTATTATCATCATTATCACCAGCACCATCATCATTGTTTCTCGGTAATGAGGTTGATTCAGATATGGTGTGATTATCAAGATTTGAACGATCACGACTGTTGATGTTTTGATTAGAGCAAAAACTACGTGACGATGATGAGGATAGAAACGGCTCATCACGATAAATGGTCTGCGGTTGAATTCCTGTCTGAGACGATTGAAGATCAGCTTTTGAGTTATCTTGAGAAGAATCATCTAAATGAAGATCTGAGGATGACGAGAAAAAAATATTTTCTTCTTCCCTTGAAATCAAACTGATTTCCGGCAATTTTTCAGGAATAGGAATGCTATTATCATTGTGATTATTGGAAATAGTTTGAAAAGCAAATAAGTTTTGGGTTTTTGCTCCACCGCTGCTAGTCCTTTCTTGTGCAAAGTCAGCACCACCACTTTCTCCATGTTGTTGTTGTTCCCACGAAGCAGAGAAATCAGAATCTGCTGCCGACGTATTATTATTATTATTATTACTGTCAATATGGTTATTAATACTATCGTTGTTGCTATTATTATTACTCTGGAAGTCTTTAAAAGAAAGACGTTTTGCAGTATGTTTTGTTCGAAATAGTGGCTGCGCGAACACATTTATTTCAGGCGCTTGTAAATTACTATTATTAGGCTTGATTGTATCCAGAGAATGAAGAATTGATAGTCGAAAACCTTCCTCTTGTAAAGATGGTTGTTGACGTGGACGTCCAAACACAAACCCTGTTTTCTGTTTCCCATTTAGATTTGAATTTGTTGCAGTCGTGTTCGCGTTCGCGTTCGCAATTCCACTTGAACTAGCTGTACCCAATTCAACGACAGGTGGCGGTTGTTTCCCAGCTTCTATTGGGCTTGTAGCATGAGATTTTGCTTGAACACGTTCACTTGACATGAATACCGCAAATTTTTCCTTTCAAAAATAAATGACTCGATTATTGTTAATAGTAGTAAGTGCCTAAATGTGTGTAATGAGTGAAGACGTGATTTTGGCGTTAAATTTGTTAAAAAAATCATGTGATTTATGGACGCGTTCATTACTTACTTGATAATAAGAATTCATCTTTTAATTAAGTTCACTCAATAGAAAAAATACTTTATTAGATGATTGAGAGAGCTTGTTCATTATATTGAAGACGAGAGATAGATAGAACACTAATATAATAATGATATTTAACTTGATTCACGCGCTAGTACGTAGCTTGGAAGAAGATGGTGACATCAATAACATCATTTTCACTTATTACCACAAAATAATATAATTTATTGTTATATATGGAATAAATTTAATAAAAAATAGATATCTGAACAAGAATACATTGATCTCTTTGTTTATTGAATTGATGGTATAAAGACAAATTGTAATGGAAATTTAGGATAATATATTTTTAATTTATTTACATATAACGATAATATATTTCTAAAAAATTTTAATATTTAATTGGTAATTCACGAATAGATGAGAATTTATCTGAAATCCGCATTTCAAAGTAGTAAAGTCTTTTAATTTTTATTAAAAAATTTAAGCTTTTTATTTCTCTTATTTTAATATAATTTATATATACTAATACAAATTTGTTCACAATTTCAGATTAAATCTGAAAAAAATATACAGTGACTAACAAAATTATGAAATTACATGTGTGATTTTATTAATAAAATATAATAAAAATTGAAAATTTTATCTTATATAAAAGTTTTATTCTTATATCAAGATAAAGATTATATTTTATATTTTAATATACAGTAACTAACAAAATTATGAAATCATACATGTAATTTTATTAATAAAACATAATAAAGTTGAAATTTTTATTTTGTATAAAAGTTTTTAATTTTATTAATAAATATTTTTACAAAAGTAATATATTACTTTCAAAATTTACTAATAAAATATAAATTTTTCTCTTTATATAAAAGTTTTCAATTTTATTAATTAAAATTGTTTATTTTTATACAAAAATTTACAAAGATAATGCATTACTTTCAAAATTTACTAATAAAAATAATAAAATACGAGTTTTTTTCTTTATTTATGTTATAATGTAGTCACTTTTTAATTTATTAATTAAAATTTTTTATTAATATATATTTTTTATATTTAATCAGAGAAAGTTTTTTTAATTGCAAAGTAAGTTAATTAATTAAAATATATAAAAAATTAATTAATCTACTTTGTCATTAGATTGCAATTAGAAAAACTTTTTCAAATTAAATATAAAAAATTTAAAATATATATATATATTAATAAAAAATTTTAATTAGTAAATTTGAAAAACTTTATATAAAAAGAAAAATCTATATTTTATTATATTTATTAATAAATTTTGAAAATGATATATTATTTTTATAGGTTATTATTTTTTTAGATTTAATTTAATAAAGTTATTCTAATTACAAAAAATTAATTGTAAAAAATTTTTATAATAATTTTATAATTAAAATAACTTTATTAAATTAAATCTAAAAAATTCATAAAAAATATATATATTAAAATATAAATTATAATCTTTATTTAATATAAAATAAAAAATATTTATTAATAAAATTGAAACTTTTATATAAGACAAAAATATTAATTTTTATTAATAAAATTATATATAAAATTCTATAATTTTGTAATTAAATTTTTTATAATTATATTTATTTATAATTATATTTTCTAAAATTATTTAATTTGATTTTTCTTATTATAATTAAAATAAAATATTTTTATTTTATATTACTAATTAAATAATTATTTATAATCAATATTTAATATTAAATTTTATTAATAAATATTTTTTATTTTTATATTAAAATAAAAATTATAATTTATATTTTAACATATGTTTTAACACATATTTTTTAGATTTTATGTTTTAATTATAAAAAATTTTTATAATTACTTTGCAATTAGAACAATTTTGTCAAATTAATCTAAAAATCCAGAAAAGTATATGTTAAAATATAATTATAATTTTTATTTTAATATAAAAATAAAATATTATTAATAAAATTGAAAACTTTTATATAAAACAATAATTTTAATTTTTACTATGTTCTATTAACAAAATTATACATGTGATTCCATAATTTTGTTAGTTACTACATATATTTTGAAATTAATAAAATCAAACTTTAATAAATTGTATTTATACAATATATAAAAAGTTTGATAGTTTAATTAAAAATTTGCATAAGCTAAACGAAATTGATTCAAATATAACTTGAACTTGTTTACAAAAGTTATTAAAAAAGTGTATATATATCATTTGCCAAACGCTTATTTATAAATCAACTATGAATTTCACATTCATTATAATGTTTTTGATAAGAAAAGTGTGATTCAGAAAGTGTAATATTACTTTTTATTTAGAAAACTTTTGCTTCATGAAAAAAATGGGCTGGCTGGATTCAATGAAAGTTTACATAAATAAAAACGATACCTTATAATATACTAAAACAATAAGATCATATATCGATATTATATATAACAGGGCTAATAGGTATCGGCAGCCATCACGGATGAATTCTTGTAACAGTGGTAGAAATACGCTCATCTGCTCATCTAATTACAGTGAACATTCCAATGAAGTGCCATTGCTCCTCGTGCAGAATGGTTTCTTACATTTGAATGTTATTTTTTTACAAGTATACAAACAAATCATGGTCGTTAAAAGAATTTGTTTCGCTTGCTTATTGAATATTAGGCGTTCTCTATTTAGAGGTTCCCAGCCCACGAATTCGAGAATATTATTTATTATAGAATACTATATTATTAAGTCTTACATTCTTTTCAAATCTAATTCGCTTTCAGATCTCGTCAATGGTAATATAATTTCCTCTTCTTCTCTGGCTTTTTTCTCCTTTCGATCCACATCTCTTTTTGCTTTATTATACATGTATAAACCCGTAAAGGTGAGACAAATTCCAATCCCCTGCATAAAAGTTGTACTTTGACCAAACCACACGATACTCGCTGTTATCACAAAGATTCGTTTCACCAAGGATGCAATCGAGTAAGTAACAGGAGAAGTGATGGCGAGAATTGAGAAAGCCAAAATATTTTGGGCGAAATGAGTTGTACCATTTACAAAAAAATAAAATGCAACTGTCCAACCACTTGTGACTGGGATGTGTGGATGATGCACGTGTTGTGGCCAAAATTGTTCGGCGATTAGATGAATGCCATCGTAATAAAGCCACATCGGCGTCATTAACGCGAAAGCGAATGTACTGGAATAAAACATCAGATTAAGTTTATCTAATTTTTTCCGATCTGATCCCCCACCCCCATGATCTTGATTAAATAAAAGTTTTTTTGAGAAAATATTTTGCGCTACAAAAATTAATGTTGATCCCATCGCAAATAAAAATCCGATAAAATTTGAAGTTGAATGAGATGAACAGGCAAGCATTACGCCGATTGTTAACGGGAGTAATGAAACATAGACGGATGATGAATATCTAACTCGAAATATAAAACGATAAAGGAGAACAGTGAAGAGAGGTGACAATGCCTATTTTTCCAAAAAAAAAAAATAATTAAACGATTGATTAACTAATCCGTTAATTTAATTTAAACATAAACCACTTTCTCATCTCACCTTAATCGTGTGGACAAAACTGACGGGTACATGACTTGTAGCAACGCTAGAAAAGACATGTCCAATAATTTGAAATAAACTTAATGGTATTGTTTCTAATAGAATAAGTTTCGTGGGACTTTTAAGTTGCGTTAAACCCATCCAATTGGCAAATCCGTAACAATAAAATAGCACAAATCCAAATTGTACCCAAGTGAGTGTAATCGGATAGCGGAATTGATTCAATATTTGCTTCCCACTATTATTCGTGATAGCCGATGAAGCATACCACAACAAACAATAGACTATAAATCTTATGGTGTCGATATTCACAGATCCAAATATATAACCAAATAAATTGGCTACTCGACCACTAATAGCAGTATTATTATTGTGCAATACAGGTGATGCTGGTATCACTTTTTCTTTATAAACTTCTTCGTATGTTTTTTGTCTCAATTTCCCCAATAAATTATTGGGCTTATATTGATAACCGAAATTTATTGATGGTGGTGGTGACATTCCAGATAATCCGTTATAACCATTTTTCATGTAGTTACCATTATGTGGCTGTAGTATTGTCTGTTGGTTTAATGGAATTGCATGATCAGATGCTATAGATCCTCGTTTTCTTGTTGGCGGTCCTTGTCTTTGCTGATAACCACCTATTATATAATTTGTATCCATTTTTGGTCCATCGTCTAATTTATTTACACTGGAATTTCGAGTCGAAAAATCAACCGACCCATTATAAGGCACATTTGGTCGTTTTTTCGATAAACTATTACGCTTTGGATATTGATTAAGGTTATTATTATTATTATTGTTGTTATTGTTGTTGTTGTTGTTGTTGTTATTGATAAATGTGGGTGAAGTTGGTGTTATAGTTTCTACATCTATTAAGGTTGGTAGGACTGTCTCAAAATTTTCTGGAGGATTGGGTGGCATATTTTCTATCAGAAGTAAGCGTCACAAAAAAGATTACTGTATTTTGTCAAAAAGGTTGTTGTCTATAGCTAAACGAGACATGCAATGTCAATCTGTAACTACCCTTTTATTATGCAATCTTAAAAACTATTAAGTTAGTTCCTTTAAACAAATTATGATAAGAATATTATGTGCATATATGTACAATGGACCACGGTCCATGTTCTATAAAAAGAAGATAAAAAGCCTTAATAATATATATATTCCAACATGTGGCTTAAAGTAGTATTAATTAACTTCCATAGTTGGCTAGCCCTATGGATTATCTATCAACGTTGACGCGTGACGTATGAAAAAACTTGAATAAACTTGAAATACAGTTTTTCTTTCTATTACTATGAGTTTATTAATAACTGTGACTGATTAAAATGAATCAGAATAAAATAATCACTAGGGTTTCGGTCGAACTATCGCTATTTTCAGCTTCGCCCTATAAGTCCGAAACTATCTGAAACCCTAATTTGGAAATAATTTGTAGATCAAATCGGACGAAACTAGTTTCACCCGAAATATTAATTATCACCCTGAAAAAGAAGGTCCATATTTCATTTTAATCTGTCACGATAATTGGTTCGGTTACTATATGATGTTCTTATAGTGTTCTTATTGTATCTACGTATTCCCATACGTACTATAATTTTGGGATTTTCTTACCTTAGGTACAAATATAATACATCGATCACGCACACTAAATATCATCTACTATATAGTTAATCGATACAAGTAAAAAAAAAAATATAAAACAAATCAAAAAACAAATAAATATAACATTCTATTTTTTTCAAAGAGAATAAATCTGAATTTATAAAAGGTTCAAGATTTTGCGAAAGTATTTCCGCCCTTCTTACTAGTAAATCTGTCGTCAATTATCAGTCGAAGAGTTACTTCTTCTCCTTTTACCAAGCGAAGTGAATTGGTGATTTTTTGGTATAGCATGGGCAGGAGTTAATGCCGGCGAACCTGCGGATTCCTTTGGCCATAATTTAACCAAAAGCTTACTAAAAGCTTTCTGAATCGATTTCAACTATTATAATGAATGTGATTATTATTATTATATTTATAATCGCCAGCTCGCGTACAACTATTTATATTACCTTCTCAATATCGGATGATCTCGTGAAAATACGGACACGTATTTCTTCGTATTGCTCCGGAACAAGATAACTACCATCCATCTTTGAAGTAATATTGAATACTGTATGTGTGGAAATTATTCACAGATTAGAGTCTCATCTATTAACGGATTAAATTTTGGGTTTAGATTTGTACCCCGTTTATATTCCCCTAAAGCGTGGGGGTATAAACGAGGTACGATTGTAATCTAAAATGAATTTCAGATCAACACCAACCTTTTTCATAGCGATTATAGAATTTAATATTATCAAGGGGATTGTCTGTTCCTTGTGCAAAATTGATTTTGAGAAAGTCCACAATGACATCCTTTTCTTGAAGTTTAGCGTATTCTTCTTGATGTCCGATAATTTCAAGGGGAGTGATGGCTTTCTGATAAAGAAAACAAGTCATTTGCTTTGAGGTATATATTAATAAAAAAACGTCCACAATATGGATTTTACCTTCAAACGCTCTAAAGCTCCAGGCGTGCTTACCATTTCAAATGGTATCAACTTTTCGTCTACCAACTTATACAAATCTCTGGATTTGAGGCGGCTTATTACATTTCTTGCATCTTTTAATCCCTAAACAAAAATCAAACTTTCATTAATATGTTTCAGCTAGAATAAAAAATTAAGATATTACATATTATAAAAAAGAAACTTGCGTCATCAGTTGACCACTCAATTGTATGCAAGATACTATCGTTGAGTTTCATGAATTTTTCTGGTTCATAAAGGGCTTCATCTATAATGTGAAGCTGTTGATCTGCTAGTTCAATCGCGTCGGTGATCATTAACTCAACGGCTTTACCTAATTTATTCTATTTGATTAACTTTATTATTCGCTTAAAAAGACTGAACATGGTTTATTTACCCTTTGGATGATTATAGACTCTCCTGTGAAGAGAATGTCGAGTGTGGAACATATCGTATAAGTTGGTCCATTCTTCGTGCGGATAGCAGATCTGTTCCTCGGCAACTCGAGAAAATTCCATAAGGCGGTCAGCATTGAAATCTATACCAGGTTTCGTGTAATAACAATCTCTTTTGAGATAATCGAATTTATCGACATCTACAGAATTGCGACGATTGGCAACAATATCAAATAGAAATTTTGGATCAAAGGATCTGGAATCAATAAAATTCTATTAAAAAACAGAATATATAAATAAATATATAATAAATGATGATTACCTTGGTTCACCACAAATTAACGCTTTTATATAATCGGCATCATCTCTATCAATCTCAATCCCTTGATTATCAATCAAATAATCGAGCATTCTTGTTGAATTTTCTTCATGTTTCCAACAAATATCTGGTCTATTATTAATTATTACCAATTATTTATTTATTCAATAACCCATAATAAAGATTCTTTTGATTAACCTTATTCTTGGAACTATTAAGTGATCGAAAACGTGACTGAAAGGACCATGGCCTGGAAAAAAACTAATGTAAAAATAAAAAAACGAAAAGCATGAACTCGGTGCTTTAATAAGTTGCACATACCCAAGTCGTGACATAAACCGGCAAGAGTCACACATTTCACGTCTCTTGGTTCTAGGTCAAGGGTTGGTTGCTCTTGCTGGAATCTTTTGACGAGTTTATGAGAAAGCCAGGCCACTCCTATTATTATTATTAAGTCATTCCCGATAATAAGCGTGAGAATGAAGTTATACGCTGCTTAAAAACACTTCCTCCTACCTAAACTGTGTTCGAACCTATTATGACTAGCACTGGGGAACACCCAATGTGAACTTCCTAGCTGCTTGATATCACGCAGTCTCTGAAATTGCGGAGTATCAATGAATTTTAACACCCAGTCTTCAAAATTCATTAAATTCTGAAATGCAAAGAAGTGTCCAGTAAGCTGGGGAATATTTAAAACGAGTACAAGAGAAAGAAGTCAACTTAATACGTACGTGTATCGGGTCATGAATGTATGTTTTCTTTTTGTAACTTGAGGTATTCTCGTTGGATTGAAAACCGTTACTTGAAGACATTTCGTTATGGAATTCAGTCTTAAGAAAGAGAGAACCGCGAGCTTCCTAAAATATAACGACCTGCCCCATTTGATACTGATAACGCGACGAAAATTCAGGTTTCGATTTTATCACGTTATCGATGGATTGTATCACTTCATTACTTCATTATACATGTCAAATGATGAAAAACGCGTCACCAGACAACCTTCATCTAAAGATCGAATCAACTTTCGACTGATTAAACTATTATATATCAAACAAATGTCATAAACGCGATTGTTATTTTATTTACTCGTCGTCTCTGCTTTCATTTTTGTCATAATCATAAAGCATTCATTTAAACTCAGACTGAAACTTTTCAACTGACATATATACAAAAAGTTCCATAAAGTTAGAGACGCAAAACAAAATGAGAACAAAAATGTTACATTGGCACATTGGAATCTTCTTATAATGATTTTTTTCATATGATACAATGATATTAAACAGGGACAAAGAAATAGACGCGTAAATCAATATAACAGGTTTTTCAAATTGAGCATGCGTCTCATCCCTTTATAAATGTACCTTTAATAATCACATTCCTTTATAAAGATACCTTAATAATCACATCTCTTTATACATAGTCATCAAACTTGGATTATTATTAAAAACAACTTTATATTTGAAGCTTGAAAAAAAGAGTTAACCGGAACAGAAGGAAGGAATGTATCTGTTTTTCATTCTTAATAATATAGAAAGTATAAAGCCGACTCAGCGGGCTTTATATTTACTTTCTAAATTTAGAATAATACTACTATATTACTTTCTCGATGTTAATTCCATTTTTCTTGATTGTTAAAGTCCATAAGTAAGTTTTGTATATCGATATTCAAGAAAATAATACATGTTCACATTAATAAAATGATAGATTAGCTAGTTGGCTAATTGAAATATTGCGTGTTTTCAGCCAATCAAGGATTCTCAGATATCTGTGATACGCATAATAGAGAAAATTTAGATTTCTTGCTTTGGTCTACTTTGTTTTGTATGTAAATTTTGTCCAAACATGAATCCCAATAATATGAGCGCTATGTATGCGACGGACGAATATGGTCGTCCGTTTATTATACTCCGGGAACAACAAAGCAAAAGTAGACTTAGTGGCATCGAAGCCATAAAGGTACTTGCATGATGTTGCCAGTTTACCAACTACGATTCGAGAATATGAACTAAACTTTTATGTGAAAACAAAAACCACCTTATTGACAGTCTCACATATTAGCAGCCAAGACTGTGGCAAATATCATAAAAACTTCTTTGGGTCCAAAGGGTATGAATAAATGCATATTCATGCGATATTTTTGTTGAACTTGATCTTATCTAATGTTTTCTTTTCACGCATTTTCTTTTATTAGGTCTTGACAAAATTCTAATATCTCCGGATGGTGATATCACAGTAACAAATGATGGTGCCACGATTTTAAGTCAAATGGAAGTTGAGCATCAAATTGCAAAACTATTAGTACAACTTTCAAAATCTCAAGATGATGAAATTGGAGATGGAACAACAGGCGTTGTTGGTTTGTTGTTAATTTTTTATCTGTCACTGCCGATTATCATTTAATGATTATTTAATTATTCATATCCTTAAATCAAATAAAAAATAGTTCTTGCTGGTGCCTTATTAGAGCAGACAGAAAATCTCTTAAATCGCGGAATTCATCCCATTAGAATAGCTGATGGGTTTCAAAGAGCTTGTAATGTGGCTGTGGCGCATTTAGACAAAATATCAGATGTTGTGGAATTCACAAAAGACAATACCGATAATTTGCTAAAGACGGCAATGACAAGTTTGGGGAGTAAAATGTAAGTGAGCAAACATCGCGCGAAAATCTTTTCGAACAGTGACTAAATATGTTAACTTCAATTGAAAAATTTTAATATCGAATCGGCGTGATTTAGTGTTTCTAAACATCATGAACAATTCGCCAAAATTGCCGTTAATGCTGTCCTCTCGGTGGCTGACTTTGAGCGTAAAGACGTTGATTTTGAACTTATTAAAGTAGAAGGCAAAGTCGGCGGCTCTCTTGCCGATACTATACTGGTAAAAGGGGTGGTAGTCGATAAAGACATGTCACATCCACAAATGCCTCGGGAAATTCATGACGCAAAAATCGCCATATTGACTTGTCCCTTCGAACCGCCAAAACCGAAAACTAAACATAAGCTGGATATCACGTCCGTGGACGAATACAAAAAATTGCAAAATTATGAGCGGGAAAAATTTGAAGAAATGATAAAACTCGTAAAAGACACGGGAGCAAATCTTGTGATTTGTCAATGGGGATTCGATGACGAGGCTAATCATTTGTTGATGCAAAATAAATTGCCGGCTGTTCGCTGGGTTGGTGGACCTGAAATTGAGGTAAATTGAATCTATTGATGATAGTATTCTTTATAAAAATTTCGAAATAAAATTGAGATTGAATTTTTCGGTTCCAATTTTTATAGCTTATTGCAATCGCTACCAATGGACGCATCGTTCCGCGATTTGAAGACCTCAGAGCCGAAAAACTTGGAACTGCCGGTATAGTACGCGAAATTTCATTTGGAACAACGAAAGAACGAATGCTTGTAATTGAAGAATGCTCCAACACAAGAGCTGTAACAGTTTTTGCGCGTGGTAGTAATAAGATGGTAAGCTACACTCTAAATGTTTAATATGAAGCATTTCGAGTTGTAGCAGACCACGCTTAATATTACCTTATTCCTAGATTGTTGACGAAGCCAAGCGTGCTATCCATGATGCACTTTGCGTTGTTCGGAATCTTGTTCGAGATAATCGTGTTGTATATGGTGGCGGTGCAGCTGAAATTAGTTGCTCATTAGCAGTCTCCAAGGCTGCTGGACAGGTAAGTTTTCATTTAAAGATACTGTTTTATTTACCAGTTATTATTGCAACGATACTTTCATTATTATTACACAAAATGAATTATTCTCTCAATTAATTATAGATATCAACAATTGAACAATATGCCATGCGCGCCTTTGCTAATGCATTAGATGCGACACCATTGGCATTAGCCGAAAATTCAGGATTATCCCCAATTGAGACCTTATCAAACATCAAATCACGGCAAGTGACAGAAAATAATAGTCGACTTGGAATCGACTGCATGAACACTGGTTCTCATGGTAATTATAAATGTCTGAAAGAATTATAATGATAGTAATAATAATGAAATATTAAACTGAACGTTTAAATTTTATTTTTACAAGATATGAAAGAAAAATTCGTCTATGATCCGCTTATTTCGAAGCGACAACAATTTCTTTTGGCAACTCAACTTGTAAAGATGATTTTGAAGATTGATGATGTAAATTACTGGGTTTTTTTCTAGATAATATTACCAGCACTTTTAATTTTATTATCATTAACTATTTTATTTTAATACACAGGTTATTACTACGGGTGCTTCAGACGCGGGCTATTAAATAAACTGTATATTATAGCGATAGATTCACAATAATAAATAATACTAATAAGTTTGTTCGCACACGATAACACTATCGTATCACGAGTATGTTACATTTGGCGAAGTTTATTGATAAATGACCTTAGGTAATCCTTAAAAGGAATATTTCTAATGACACATGCATCATTACGCGTGTCTTGTAACATACATAATAAATGAATAGACTTTCCTTTACCCACTTCTCACGATATAAAGAAAATCGTTCGCACTTTTTGATAACTTGAAAATATGGGTAACATTCAGTCACGTTTTTCTGGCTTCAGACGTACACGTTCTGCTGGTCGAGGTACCAGTAGTAAGGCTCGCAAAAATAAAAGAAGCGTTAGTATTTACACAAATGGGGCAAATAAATTTATTTCAGAGAAAATTCCAAACGAAAACACTGTATCGGATGCTTGTTTAACCGTTGAAATCATTGAAAAATTCTCGTAAGCTACAGTTCTTAATATTGTCACGTGATATCTAAGTAATAATAGTATATTAATAACTAATAAATTAGTGATGAATTTAACGCGGAGCCCAAGAATCGATTGGCTTTGAATGCAGTTACAGCAGAAGATATGACCAAAGTTTTGCTAAGTCGCGAGGTGATTATATTTTCGTGATTTATATCATATGAAATATATTATATTAATATGTCTCTTTAGGTTACCATCAATGATACTCATGTTTTCTCAGAAAGAATAGAACTGGAAGCCAAAGTGACAAATCAAAAATCTTCTGGAAGATGTTGGTTGTTTGCCGCTACCAACGTGATGAGATTGATTCTTATGAAAAAGTAAAGTTTTCGATTTTGCTCATTTTGAATTTTTCATTGAAATTTATTCACTTGATTTTCGTAGATATAATATTGATGACTTGGAATTATCTCAACCGTATCTCTTCTTTTATGATAAACTTGAGAAAGCTAATTGTGAGTATTTTGTGTGATTATATTTTACCGTTTGTTTTTATTGATGATTCTTTACCGATAACAGTCTTTTTGGAAAGTATGATTGGACTTGCCGGCGAAAAATCTACCGATTCGCGCTTGCTTCAATACTTGCTACGCGATCCAGTTAACGATGGTGGTCAATGGGATATGATTATTAATCTATTAGGGAAATACGGTGTCGTTCCCAAAACGGTAAATTATTCGATTAATTGCCGAGTTATTTATTGTTCCGCGAAGATTCTGACTAAACAAAAACCAACGTTTCACATCTAGGCATTTCCTGAAAGTTTCAACTCCTCCAACTCGTATAGAGTAGACACGATACTCACATCTAAACTTCGAGAATTCGCCCATCAAATACGACAGTTGCATGCACGTGGACACAGTAGCAGTTCGTTGCGTCATGAAAAAATTAAAATGATGGAAGATGTATACCGTATTTTGGCAATTTGCCTTGGCGAGCCACCAAAACGTTTTGATTGGTCTTTCCGTGACAGGGAAGGAAAATATCACCAGTTTCCTAATTTGACACCAAAGAAATTCTACGAGGATGTCATTGGATATAACGTAATAAATATTTTCACATCAAATTGATTATTATTTATTATTGATGCTGATTATTGAATCTTAACATTGCTTATTTCTTTAGGCAGACGGGACCTTCTCATTGGTTAATGATCCTCGTAATCCTTACCTTCGATTATATACTGTCGAATATCTTGGAAATGTTTGCGATGGTTATCCAATTAGATATGTTAATATCCCGATTGATAAAATGAAAAAACTTGCGATCCAAGTCCTTCGTTCGGGAAAGCCTGTTTGGTTTGGTGCAGATGTTGGAAAATTCTCACATAATACATTGGGTATTCTGGATAACAAGGTTTACGACTTTGAACTTGCTTTCAACATAAAATTTGGCTTGAACAAGGAGCAAAGATTACGTTATTGTGAAAGTTTGATGACTCACGCGATGGTCTTTACTGGTAATGAAAACTTCTATCGATACGTGTATTGTTATCATTATTAGTCTCCTAATCCTTTTTATTTTTTTTAGGTGTACATCTTGAACATGATAAACCAATTCGATGGCGTGTAGAGAATTCATGGGGTGAAGATCGAGGTCAAAAAGGATACTTCGTAATGTCAGATGATTGGTTCAGTGAGTGGGTCTACCAAATTGTCATGGAAAAAAATGATGCGCCTAAAGAATTGGTTGCTGTCTTGGATCAGGATCCCATCACTTTGCCTGCATGGGATCCAATGGGCTCACTTGCGAAAATGTAAAAATAATGATGATCCAAGTTAAGAGTTCAATCCGGATTAAGTTATTGCTTTTAGATCGGATATATATATATATATATATATATATATATATACATGCTGTAAATGCATGCGTGAAAATAAACGGTTAATTAAATCTTTAAAATCAATGATTATCGCGTGTATTGCAAATCGGGTGATATCTCGATGAATTTCAATCTTTTTGATGCTTATTATTTACGTCATTCATGCAAGATAATTTTTTGTGTTTGAAATAAAATTTTGATGGTAATTTTAGATACGCCTTGGATTAAAAATCAAGATTCAAATTATCATATATAATATATAATCGTTCGATTTTTATTTTTATTTTTATTTTTCTCTGTGTTTACATTAGATCCATATAAAAATATACTTTTTTTTAGTTTAAAATTTCAGATCCGCACACAAACCCGTCGAGTTCTCTTTTTTTCGAAATATAAAGACCACCACTAAAATGTCTCCATCAGCAAGTGGTAAATCAGAATCAGGTCTCGCGCGGTTAATTGGTTCTGGAACCTCCGGAATACTTGAATTATTTTTATTTCACCCTGTTGATACAGTGGCGAAACGGTTGATGACAAACACAAATAAGGTGAGAGTCCCATAAACGGGATAAAAAAAGGTTTGAATGAGTATTTGTGGTGCTTAACACCGAAAAGAGGTTTTATATGCGAATGGCTTTATTTAATCTGTGAAAAAATAGATTCTCGATAATTTTTTTTTCAAAGACTAAAAGAAATATTTTGATTTTTTTTTAGGTTTTTGAAAAAGGTGCACCATTGTCACAGGCTGGACAGAATTTAAATGCGGTCATTTTCAAAGTACTTATTCAATTATAATTATCATGCATTAATTTCTCTCGAATGAATCATTATTAAATAATGTATATATTTTTATGAATAGAAAGAAGCAAATTCCTCGCTCTTGCAAAAATACGCTTCGTTATTTCCAGGTTTAGGTTTCGCTGCCTGTTACAAGGTTTTGCAGCGTGTTTACAAATACGGGGGCCAACCATACATCAAAGATTACATAAATACGCACCATCGCAATGCTTTCTATAGTACTTTCGGAGATAAGACGGGAAAAACGATGATTCATGCTACTGCTGGAAGGTAAAATTGTAGTTTAGCTGAAATATTTTGAAGTGTCGTGACATATTATGACTCATTTACGCGTTCACGTGATTTGTAGTTTGATTGGTATTGGTGAGGTTGCATTGCTACCTTTAGACGTGCTAAAAATCAAGAGCCAGACCGCTCCAGAGACATTAGCTGGTCGTAATACTTTCCGAATTTTCTATGATGAAGGACTCGCATTGTATAGGTAATAATATAATATAAATAAAATTACGCTATATTTACTACGTATCTAATGTATATTCTATAATTTCTTTAAATTAGAGGTGGTATGTGGACAGCAGCTCGGAATGCTCCAGGCAGTTTTGCTTTAGTAAGTCACTTACCAAAGTGTCAATTAAATCGGTCAATCGATGTCATTATAATTCTAACATCATTATTGAATAATATAGTTTGGTGGATCTGCCGCAGTTAAAGAATACTTGTTCGGATTGAATGACTACAACAAAGCAACTTTCTTTCAAAACTTTTGTGCATCAATCGGTGGCGCGACTGCCTCTATCACAGTTGCGCAGCCACTTGATATTATCAAGACGCGAATTCAAAAACGGCCTTTTGATGCGCCTGAAAGCGGAATGAAGATCCTTAGCAATATGATTAAGAAAGAAGGTATGAATGATTTAATTTCTCGATGCTTCTTCTATTTGTTTGTCGGACCTTTTTTGAGTGTTTTTCATCTTTTTGTATAGGTGTTTCGTCCTTCGTGAAAGGACTAACTCCAAAGATTGTGGTGGTGGGACCAAAACTTGTATTCTCATTTACCGTTGCACAGCAGTTGATTCCGCTACTTGATAACTTTTTCATTTCCCAAGGAATTACGAATCCTACTCGTTTGTCACCATGATAAACAAAAACAATAATCATTTACCAAAGAATGACAACAAACCATACAACTTTAATGAGCGAATGATAGGAGCCAAGTCGTTGTTGCCATTAATTATACTTTCATAATTAATATTCCGCAGATTAATAAAAATAATAATGGTCATAATTAATATTCCGTAGATTAATATAATGTTCAATAGCTTGTGAAACATTTTGTTATCGAATTTGAAATATTGTTTTTTAACAAGCCGAAAATATTGATTAAGTCGAAATAGTATTTTAAGAAGGCATTGTAAAACTAAATTCCATAATTTATTTCAAATAAATCCGAGACCTCAAGTCCAATATTCTTAAATTAAAAACGTGATTGATGAAAAGAACGAATACGTAGAATCTAAAAATTCTAGAATTAAATGAATCAAATGACTAATAATAACAAAGAAGAAAGAGGAATAGTTTGTAGCTCTGTATAAATAAATAATGGGTATCGAAAAAAGGGAGGAATGATGATGTAAATAGTAACAAAAAATTAAAATTATATATATAATATAATACAAATAAACAAATACTAATAAAAAATATTATAGTTTACTAATAATACTATTGCTATTACTATTACTTTTATTACTACCAAGAGCCTTAGAGGGTGGTGCCAACGATAATGATGGAGTACCAAACGAGGATGACGATGATAATGATAAATTATTTTCTTTTCGCCGAGATACGTGTAGAAAACTCGTGAATTCCATAATACTCGATGAGAGGTTATAATTATTATCATTGGTATTGTTATTCAGAATTTGGTGACTATCGTATATGGATTGAACTTTTTTTGTAGTCTTGTGTTCTTTTCCATTTTCTAAGAATAATTGTTTTTGTCGTTCTAATCGCAGAACACGTTGTTCTAGATCGAATAAATGATAATCTTGTGTTTCGGGCGCGATTATCCGTAATGCTTTAGCGAGGTTAATTAAATAGTCGATATTGGGACCACTTGGACCTTTGGCACGTAACAATGGTAAAAATCAAGATTAATGAAAGACCCATGGACAATAATGTATGATCATCAAAATATCGTTTAATTGCTTACCACGTGCCGTAAAGATTTGTTGAGCAATAGATTCGATAGGTGCTGGACCTACATATTCTTCATTATCTTTTGTCGCGATATAGACAATCGCCTATTTTCAATATCCGATTATTAATTAGCATATTGATTCATTCGATAATTATAATTGATCGAACAAAAACTTACGTTCTTTACAACAGGTTCAACGCGATGATTTTGAAATACATCAATTTTACGACAAATGTATCCGCTCTATAGGAAAAAAAAACATCATGGATAAATATTGATATTTTAAATATTTTGCATAACAGTAAAAAAGATAAAGAATCAATCTGTTCTTTACCTCTCGAAAGTCAAGCTCTGCTTTGACATCCTCGACATCTTTATCAGCGATTCTATAAGCAACACCCCATGTTACATCATCTTCGTGATTGTGATGCTACAGGATGAAAAATAATCATTCAATAAGCGAGATCTCTTTTGATGATCATATAAAGTTTGATGTAATAGAAATTAATATTCACATAATCATCGAGTAATTTCCATTCTGCGTGTGGTATTAAAGTTACTACTAAACCGGGTTTATCAACTGTACCACGATGATCGGTATTTTTCTGTTTCAATCAAAAGAAAATTAAAGTCAATCATAAACGAAAATTAATTGATGATGATCTGCTCTGCTAACAACTCACCTGCCAAAATCTTCTAACGTGACCTTTAATGAAACCAGCGACTCTGGATTAATCAATTCATGAAAAATATTAGAAAATTATACATCACGAACTGATAGGTAAAATAACAGTAGTTCATGGAAAATCTAGTTAAATAGCTGACCTGTCTGCATATACTGGGGGCGGTTTCCAAATTAGAGACCCGTATCCGAATATCCAATATTCGGACCCAGGTGCAGCGGTACAACTTGATTCGTTATTTACCATCCTGAATTGGAGGTGATGGTGTAATTGATTTAGATTTGGGTTGGAAGGTAAAAAACGACGAGTGCTTGTCGTTTTACTCGTAAATACTTAAATATATTGAGCAAAAAAGAAATATAAAAAGAGGAGAGAAGAGAAGAGAGCAATTATTCTTTTCTTGTCGTTGTTATTATTATTATCTCGAATGAGATGAAATTAAGAAATCTATGTAGTATTTATATTATTAGTTTAAGTGACCCAGTATAATAAGAAATTGCGCAATTTTCGGGTGATCATCACACAACAATTCGAAAAATGATGTGCCATACTTCTTAAGTTTGGCTGGAGAACGGTGATTGGTGGTAGTTTATGCACTTCATTATACGATTTACTTCTCGTCGTATCGCCATTCGTTAACCATTATTCAACAACCGAAAATAGATGTGTTCATAGAATGGAAAGGCTGTGTTCTCATTGTGGATCATTTTCTTTCATCTTCTCGTTATGAAAACGAATTGCTATATTTATATTACTTTATTATTGTGTGTACAAACAGAATAATAAACAGGCATTGTGTTAACATTAACTTGCATTAATAGAGGCAAAATCGATTGAATAGGAAGCAGCTAACTACTTTTGTATATGACAACCCCAAAAAACACTTCAAATAAAATTTCCTTCTGATATAACGACTTTCATCATAAATTCTCGAATTTTTTGTGATTATATTGTGAGCAGGTTACTAATTATTAGTTGTCGTTATGGATGATTCAACAATCAAGTTAGATAAAGCTGTGAACGCCCATGTGTCTCATGATACCAATTACATCAAATAGGCAATACCGTAAAAATACTCTATAGTAGCGATAGAGAGTACCTTGCGGTATAGAAAAAAACATTGCACACACGCGTATATCGAGATATCAAAATATAAAAGGTCGTCAATAAACCAAGTTTTAGATCTAAAAAATCTAGGAACTTTTGGAAATCCTTGAAAATTACCAAAATTAAAATTTAATGAATATTAATTAAGGTAAGATATTAAATAGAGCAAGTATTCTTTTGATAACGATTAATGCATAAAACTCTGAAAGGTAAGCTATTATACCCAAGGCCATATTATGCTGATGAAGATGCTCAGATTTGATTGTATCTATTGAAAGCATTAACTTTTGTGAAATTCGAGTTTGCCACATATACGAAGATCCAATCTGAGTTTTTAATTTTGTGAACTCGGAAATCCCTAGTGAAATTTTGGGCTTTACTTGTTTGTGCATGCTACAAAGCGCATGACAAATACATTTATACAATTATAGACATTACAAGCTAGGGTCAGGGTTAGGGTTAGAGCGAGAACAAGGTTATATATATCCATTTTTGGATGCACTAATAAGCATACCCGAAATTTTGGAGATCAGAGAATTATTATTGTTATTGTTTGTTTTGATGTGTAGCGTAGAGTGTCCAGTTACTGCAAATTCTGTAAATTGAAAAATGTGCAAGATCATTATGATGAGCAAATTTTTTAAAAAAACTTATTAATAATTGTTACTTTTTAATTATTAGTTATACATTGTTTAGTTAGAATTTCGCATAGATCATTTTTATAATGCAAGTTATAAAATCCACATCATTATTATCATTATGCAAATTATGTACACAAATCACATTATAAACCATATGGATTCTGCAAATTCTGTAAATGCAGTAAACTGGACACTCTAGTGTAGCGGTAGGAACTGTCTATACCACGATTAATTAACTACGGTAGATTTGGCCACAATAAAGCATTACTCCTGAATTTCTTTGATTTTTGGTGATTTAAAAGAAACACGAGTTGAAAATCCACGTCGTTGAACCCCCGACGTCGATAAAACAATCAAATCTCCATTTTCAGATAACGATAAAGAATGACGAGAATCTTTGCTTGTTTTAGAAAGATATTCTGATTTCGTCTTGGATCGATTCAGCAAAATGATGTGGTTCATTAAGAGATAGATTCAATGTACAATCAATTGAACAGACACATTGAGAATAGAATACTTGGAAGATCAAATCTTTCTTGATCATTGTATTTGATCAGGCTGTAAAGCCAAAAAAAACGCGAATAACAAACCAATAAGAATGCACAAATCATACGTATGCCAACAACTATTAAAGATTGCAACTACAGTGATCTAGCAGAGTATTGTGAACACTTTAAAATATAATAACACAAAAACCAATAAAAATAAGATTTATTATTCTAAACTAATAGATTTATTAAAGCATAATATATATTATATCAAAATTTCAAGATAAAAATTTAGTGTCAAACCAAAATTTATATAAAAAAAGATATTCTATTTGATAAAAATACAGTTATAATCAATCACAAAAGTATCCAATCCCCTAACTTTCCATAGATCATGTGTAATGCACCAAATTTTTCTGAGCACAAACATTACAAATAGGTTGGTAAAGCTTTTATTTTATATCAGGTATTATATATTTATAAACTTTTATGTTCAAAATATAATAAATCAATTACTTTAGAATATAATATCTTAATATCTAGTAATTCAATTTGAGTAATAATACCATTATTTGATTTGTCTAATTTAGATAAATCAAATAATAATATTATTACTCAAATTGAATTACTAGATGTTAAAATATTATATTCCAAAGTGATTAATTTATATTTGTTAATCAATTTTTCATTTAATCACCAAAAAAATGAATTAGTCAATTTAGAACATAATATCTTGATCTCCAGTAATTTGATTTTAACAAAAAATAATATCATTTAATTTATCTTAACTAGATAAATCAAATAATATTATTTTTGTTTGAATTAGATTACTGAAAATCAAAATATTATGTTTAAAGATAAGTTCCTAAACTATTCTAAAAAGATATTATTATAATTTAAACTAATTTTGATTATGTTTCTAAATTATATCCTTAAATAATATTATTAGTTTCAGGATCTATTTTTAATTACATTATAAATTAACTGATTAATTTTTATTAATATTAAAAAGATTAATTAGTTATTTTAAAATATAGTATTTCAATATTCAGTAATCTGATTTGAACAAAAATATTATTATTTGATTTGTCTTGATTAGATAAATTGAATAGTAGTATTTTTGGTTAAAGTAAATTACTAAATATTAAAAATTAGATTATTGTATATTGAAATGTGTATTATAAAATAACTAATTATATTTGTGATATAAAAGTTTATAAATATAAAATATCTTATATAAAAACTTTATTAACTTATAAAAAGTATTAATAATCAGTATTTATAATGCTCTTGGTGCTCAAAAAAATTTGATACATTATATATAATTTATAGAAAATTAGAAAAAATCAAATATTTTTGCTATTAACTATATTTATAATATATATATTATAAATATTTAAATTAATCTCAGATATTATTATAATATAAATATTTAGTTTTTATTTTATTGATTAATTTATATTATAATTTAATTGAATAAAATTTGTTATATTTTATTAATTAAAAATTAGTTTTAATTTAATTAGATAATTAATTAATACTTTATTATTAGTTCTTTATTTGTATTAACACCAGCAATATTAGTAATATTAATAATACTTGTATAAATATTAAGAAATACCAATAATATTTGTGATCAAATGATTTATAAGATTAATACTATTAATAAAATTGATTTATAAAATTAGTAAATTAGTAATATGAATATCACAAGTAATTATTATACATATAACATATATTTTAGATAGAATTAAATAGATTTTTTAGATTTTAGATTAGAATTAATTAGTAATTAATAACTCAAAAAATCTTTTATTTGATAGAAATTTCAAATAACTTGTAAAGTTATATTTGTATTAGTTTTTGATCTTGAAAGATAAATTACTTATAATAAATTATTATTATTGACTTAAAAAATAGTCACTTGATAAACTTATTATTTGTATTATAACTTTTAAAGTTCTAAATAAATATGTAAAATTTAGTAATATTATTAAATATTATTTTAACTTATTATAATATAAATATATGTTATTTATTTTTAAAAATAGTTTTTAGTCTCATATATTTTTAGTTATTAGAAATATATAAATAATATATAGATAACTTAAGGTTAATAAAAATAGTAACAATTTCTAATCATGTCTATTAACAATTAATTATCAATACATTTATTATTTATTATTTATTATTAATAAAATTATAATTAATTATTAATAATTATAATTAATTATAATTATTAATTATTATTTGTAATTAAATATAATTAAAAATTATTATTAGCAATTAATTCTAACTTTTATTACTAGTAAATAGTGAAATATTAATGCTTAATTATTAATGAATATTATTAATTTTTAATGAATATTATTTGTAATTAAATATAATTATAATTAATATTAATTAATAAATTGTTAATATTATATTTATTTACAATCAAACTTCTTTATAGTTATCACTTTTAGAAAAGCAAAATTTGATGATTATAAAGAAGATATAATTATAAAAAATTTTTTTTACTATATTTATATTATTATCATTCTTATATGAATAGATAAGATATTAATTAATTATAATAATTAATTAAAAATTATATAAAAATGATAATAATAACTATATATACTTAAAAAGGTTGAATATTAGATAGTTGGAAAAGAGTATTAAAAAAAATAAATTCTAATATTTTTACTAATTGAACAAGTATTTTATAATTCAAAAATGCAAATAATTTATTAAATTACAAAATATAACTTTTATTAGTTGGATAAGTCAAAGTTAAGTAAATAATAGATCAAAGATAACAATAAGTAAAAGATTATTTAGAAGTATCAGTTAATTTTTATACTTTTATTACTTTTAAATCACTTGATAATTATCTAAAAATTATTTTATTCTATATTAATTTATATCTGTTTAAATATATTGTTACTGTTCTTATATTGATAGGCAAGATATTGACTAATTATAGTAATTAATTAAGAATTGTATAAAAGCGATAATAGTGACTGTG